TAGAATAAACAAAAAAATACTCCTCCTCCCACTCTGTGTGAAAATAATAAGTTTTCGTTTGCTTGTTCGCTAGTTTTCCATCCATGTTTTCTGCGCACCGACATTACTCCACTACTGAGCCTAAAGTCTCGTGAGAGCACTGTGTCACCGCACCCAAAACTCGCGAGACTATGTCTGTGAGAATACAAGTCAAGGCTTCGCTTCGCGGGCGACCGGTCGCCCGCGGGCGACTGGTTGGGCACACCTGCATTACACTTTCAGTAATGGTTCTTGTTCAGGTTCAGAGTTAAAAAATTGACGTCATGCACCTTACCAGCAGTAATGCTGGTGTCTGAACAGGTTTCAGTACAGGGTGAGAATATATTTTTGAAGTTTCTGGTAAATTAAAGAGAACAGATTATTAAAATTATCAAATTAAACAATATATACAGTATGCTAATGAACTTTAGTTCACCATTAAATCTCTCATGAACCAGATTCTACAAAACATCTATATTTGAAATTTTATAAGATGCTGTGCTTTACATCATTCCTCTACATTTTTGGCTTGCAGCAGCAACTCCCCCAACGCGAGTCAATGAAAAAGTCAAGCAGAAGTGGGGAAAAGTTAAATTGCCTCCAGAAACACAAGGTGAAAACTTTGTGACGGCAAAAAGCCTTGGTGAAATATGTCCCATTAATTCTAATGTATTTATTAAGTCCGGGACCTTTGAGTGAGGTTTGAGGGGTGGTTATGATGTTTTCATATCACTTTGCATTATTTCAAGTCTGTTAAGATTGCGAGCTGGAATAGTTTATGTGACAGTTTCCTCTGTGAGGAAAAAAGATATACATGAAGAACGCTAAAGGGGAAGAAATAAAAACAAGAAAATGACTTTTTGCCAGCAGGTTTAAGTTTTAGCCACCAGAAGCAGCTAACTTGCTTGTACATGACTGTATATTTAAATAAATCCCTGTGTAATTTCAATGAATAATGGTGAAAAATTTCAATTTGTATAAGTTACGACAGCAGCAGTCCTTTTTGTTCGTGTCTGCTTTCTGAATTAAACTTTGTATCCAAACTGAGGTAATTTAAAGAGTTATCCACCACAGGTAAGATTATAGTTGTTCATAACCTTTCAGAGAACCACACTTCAAAAGCTCTAATAGTTTTATAACTTGAGATTGAAACATGTTTTTTTTTTTTTTTTCCAAGATGGAGTTTGAATGAGGCAGTGTTGAAGAAACATTAGGAATAAGGAAAACTAATTAAATAATTGAATGAAAGTAGACAAAAGTTTATGAAACCAGAAAAAATAAAATGCTTACAAGAAAAAGAAAGACAAAGTGAGATGAATTGCATTTTTATGGCAGAAAATAATAGGCTTGAGGGCATATTTTATGAGTGTTTATTGGATTGATACATAATTTTAGTACACTTAATTTTCTACAATTCTATATTAATTGATTTATCTTTACACATGAAGCTGCTCACATGTCACTTTCAACTACAAAGTTCTCTAAAGCCTAAATAGATACTCCAAAATAATAATGGTAATAATATTATATATAATATATTTTATGTGTTTTTAATGGAGCCATAGTTAAATGGGCCACAGGACGACAGAGCTGCCTCCAGCTGTGCCAGGTGGCTAACTTGGCCTTGCTTGTCACCCCACAGGGGCTTTGATTTCAAATAAATGTTTTCTCCATGTTAATTCATCCAGGAGACATTTTTGCTACGTTCTGTGTTTTTCAGCTACAACCCCTATTTGTTTTCACGGTAAAATGCCAGAGCCTGCTGGTTTCTGTGAGGCTCCAATGGAGCAGCAGAGGATGGCTTAATCGCACTTTAACCCAGAGCAGAATGTGGAGCAGGAATATCTGTCAAATTAAAATGACACATTTTATATGTACATATACACAGACACACATGCACACACACACACACACATATATATGTGTGTGTATATGTATATATCCATCCATCCATCCATTCTCTTCCGCTTATCCAGGGTCGGGTCGTGGGGGTAGCAACCTAAGTAGGGAGGCCCAGACTTCCCTCTCCCCAGCCACTTGGTCCAACTCCTCCGGGGGGAATCCCAAGGCGTTCACAGGCCAGCCGAGAAACATAGTCCCTTCAGCGTGTTCTGGGTCTTCCTCTGGATCTCCTCCTGGTGGGACGTGCCCAGAACACCTCACCAGGGAGGCGTCCAGGAGGCATCCTAACCAGGTGCCCGAGCCACCTCAACTGGCTCCTCTCGATGTGGAGAAGCAGTGGCTGTACTCTGAGTCCCTCCCGGATGACCGAGCTTCTCACCCTATCTCTAAGGGACTGTCCAAACACCCTGCGGAGAAAACTCATTTCAGCCACCTGTATCCGAAATCTTGTTCTTTCGGTCACAACCCAAAGCTCATGACCATAGATGAGGGTAGGAACGTAGATAGACCGGTAAATTGAGAGCTTCACCTTTTGACTCAGCTCTCTCTTCACCACGACAGACTGTTACAGTGCCCGCTTTACTGCAAACGCTGCACCTATCCGCCTATCGATCTCACGCTCCATTGTTCCCTCATTCGTGAACAAGACTCCGAGATACTTAAACTCCTCCACTTGGAGCATGACCTCCTCCCCGGCCCAGAGAGGGCACTCTACCCTTTTCCGGTTCAAGACCATGGCCTCGGATTTGGAGGAACTGATCCTCATCCCGGCCGCGTCACACTCGGCTGCAAACCGCCCCAGCGAAAGCTGTAGATCACAACCTGATGAAGCCAATAGGACCACATCATCTGCAAAAAAAACAGAGAAGCGATCCTAAGGCCACCAAAACGGATCCCCTCAACACCTTGGCTGTGCCTAGAAATTTTGTCCATAAAAATTATGAACAGAATCAGTGACAAAGGGCAACCTTGGCGGAGTCCAACTCTCACTGGGAACGAGCCCTACTTACTGCCGGCAATGCAGACCAAGCCCTGACACCAGTCGTACAGGGACCTAACAGCCAGTAGAAGGGCCTGGTACCCCATACTCCTGGAGTACCCCCTACAGGACTATAGATATGTGTGTGTGTGTATGTATGTATATACAAAGCTAATTGACAGTTACAGTACCGGTCAGTCTAACATGCATGTTTTTTTTCTGTGGGAAGAAACCCATGCATGCACAGAGAAACTCCACCCAGAATGGCCCCCCGGCTGGAATATGGTCCAGCGACCTTCTCTCTGAGAGTTGGCAGCTCTACCAACCCCTGATTGATCAAAATATTTATAATATCATTGTTAATGTAATGCAGTTTAAAGCTTAGAATGCTGTTTCTATCTTTTATTATTAAACACACACACACACACACACACACACACACACACACACACA